CATTTTGTCTAAATATAGTGAATAAATACCTTATCACTGTATCATTTCAATGAACTGTCTGAAATATCCTAAAAAATGTTTGAAGCACTTTTGTGAGTATTAGCAACAAAAAAAAAAAAATTAAGAATAAATAAATAAACGATTTTGAGGAAAAATGCCTTAAAATTTTGAGATTTTCCATGTGAGCTATCAAAGCTTTTCATGTCTTTCCAGCTGGGAAATCTCAATATTCAAATGCTATTTGAGGTTTCTTTTTTAAAATGACATTAAAAAAATCTTCATTAAAATTACATAAAATTAGGATTTAGACCAAATATTTATGTATTATTGTAACCAACAAGACAAATTAAATAATATCTCTGGATCTACTAATGATATCAGTATGAGTAAGTATCAAAACGTAGCTTTAAAAGCCAGGAATCTGAAAATATAATTAGGTCATTTTGACCAAATTTGATTTTACCCTCATTTCGATGTGCTGGGTCACATTTATCATTCAGGTAAAACTCTAAAAATAATAGTGTTTTGATGCACTGAGAAATAAGACAGCTATGTAAACCTCTATAGATGCCTAACCTTTAAATTATATGAAAGCATAAACACGCAGACTCTCCAAGAAAATCAATTACACCAAATGCTGAGAGTAAAGTGTAAACAGAGAAATCTTTGAGAAGAATGGGGACAAATATTCTACCAAAAAGTAACTAACAAGCTCRTTTAATTTTATTGAGGTATGTTTTGACATTACCAACTCTGACTGCCCCTTTTCCCCTAGTGCCACTTAGTGTAGTGTCGGTATGGTCAGTGTTGGAACAGGTCAGTTCGGGTTTTTTTCCATTGACGTTCCAGTCTGATTCCAGTGGGTGTGTTTTGGATGGTTGGTGGAAGTGTTTTGGGATTTTTTTTTTTTTGAAAAAAGTTTATGCGCAAAACGAGAGATGGAAACACATTTGCAGAATAAGTTCTGAAATTTTTAAAATTTGCTAAAAATTCGAATTAAAAATTGAATGGAAACACAACTAATGTCACTGCTACTATTGAAAAAAAATCCTTGAGTTGTTGTAAAGGTGGCTTAGATGCAACCAGTGACTCCACTCCCTAGCCAACCAGTGACAAACAGTGTTCTGATGTCGCATTTTGGTGAGGACTGGGACCACTTGGAACCACAACGAAGTAGGTACTAAAAAAAGGTCTGGTTCCGTGAATCTGGCCTAATGGAAATGGCTTGGAACCATACTGACACTACTAAGTGGCATAGTGGAAAAGGAGCACTCGAACGAGATTAAGATAGGATAATATCACAAACCATAACCGGTACAAAAACAATTACCAGAACTCACAGGTTCTTTAAACTGTTATCCTGAAATCCAAAATTTCATAAATATAGCAGCCGACTCACTGTCAATATCACACAGCAAACACCATGACTGCATAAAACCCCTCATATGACCAAATAACGACCTGATTTTATCATGGTAGGAGAGGAGAAAAAAATCTCAGTCATCTCTTTGTTGCAAATTAGCAAACTGGTGGGAGATGTGTTGCCGTGTCATGTGGCCTGGAGCAACAGCTGTGAATGYGGCTCGGTGATAATCCATCCATATGCTCAAAAGGAAAAAAAAGGAGTCAAAAGGTCTGGATTGTGTCACAAAGGTTAGGTCAAGCCCGTCTCGATGGTCAACTGTTGATTTCTGCTTTTAGAGGATACATGGCATGCACCTTTTACTTTGTTAGAAGAACCAGCCGCCTCAACCTAACGGAGCTACGTAATTAAAGCACTATTTTTAGCAACATACAGAAGCATAGGCAAGGCAAACAATGCATCCTTTTATGTTTCATCTTTTTGACAATTCATGTGCCACTTTCACAGCCAGTATCAGTGGTGTCTAATTCTGGTCCTCGAGAGCCACATAGCTTGCATGTTTTAGTTGTATCTCCTCTTTGACACCCATAATTGGAAATGAAGAGTGATTAACAGGCTTCTGCAGAACTTGAAGACCTATTAAAGAGCAGGAAAACAACTCAAACATGAAGGAGAGYGGCCCTCGAAGACAAGGATTCATATGCCATTGTTATACCCCAAATCTATAAAAGCATAGCATCTCAAAACCAAACCCAACCAAATTACAATTTGGCACAATAATTGCAGTTTTATCTACAGTTTATACACTTTTGAATATGTCTGCTTTATTGTAAACATCACAAAAAAGGAGTATTTTCAGAAAGTATCACCTCTTCTGCAAGGAAGAAAACAATGAAGTACTCCAATATGTCTTCATGTCTCAGTTCGTGGTCAATCAAGAGGAAGAAAAACATTTCAGGGATCATGAGGTCTTGACTGTCAGATTAAAAACGAGTTAGTGCTGTACCAAAYGATTTTTTTTTCGATTAATTGATTATTCTAACAACAAATCTAAAAGTTATTCTGATGTGAGTGCACTGGAAATTTAAAACGTTTTCATCAAATTAACAAGAACAGTTCTTTAATATTGTAATATTTTCTTTAATAGTTTTTTCATGGACACAAAATATGCACTCTAC